TCATGATACAAAAGGTCGACCGTTTAGACTTTTGATAAGTCGTACGTTCATTTCATGCATTTTATCTTGTTTTCGTCAGTGGGAAATACGTTTGAAAATAACTTTTATTTGAAAGAATCCAATGGAAATTTCGGCTAATCTTTACGGAATTGGAATTTAATATACAATTCACAAGCAGTTTTTTTCATTTTGGTCATATTATTTGATTGATCATTTAGTACTGGCTAATATTTTATAAGCTATGCTATGTTCAAATTTTGCAAAAGGGGCACAGAGAGGCTATAAAAGCCCCTCGGGTAAAAAGGGAAAATGTAGATCAGCTGCGAGCAGAAAATTTGGTAATTATGGCCCTAAGATTAGCTTAAAATTCCTTTTCAGAACAATTTCTTGAAGTAATTTCGACCCGTTAAAAGGTTGTCAATTATTCGACAAAAGCCCGAGCCCCCCCAAACCCCCATAATTTCCGCCACTGATTATGATTACATGTGCCCAAAGCTAGTTTGAATGTCTGTTCATCTGTTCCATTTCTCAATAAAAGAGGGGGCATGAATTATTGCAGGAACCAGGAGTGAAGAGAAGAAAATTGTTTGGAGGGGTGAAGAAGTGATTTTTGTCGACTAAAAGGGCGTGTCTCACTCTTTATGGGTGTGGTCAGAAGATAAATACTCTTACATGATGCTACTTAAATGCGTTTATTTTTCAAGGTAGTATTATTGTTGTGGAAGTATTTAGTGGAGAAAATGGATGAGGTGCTAAAAATATATTGCGCAAACATCCTAGATGCTTCCAGCCCGATCCTGTTATCAGTAATAACAGATAAGATCCAAGGAGCACGAGGGCTAAGATTGTCGGAAAGCACTCTGTTTAAGAATTTGATACAAAAATCCATTAACATTTTGATGTCCAAAGATTTCATTTCACTTTACCAGGAAAGGTTCAACTGAAAAGAACAGGGTGTGACTCAGGAGCGGAACCAGACTATAGCAACTGTAGCTCGAGCTATAGTCAAAATCTCAGTGTTTGATTTTCGGAATTCACATTTGAAAGCAGCGGTATAGGTTATCAAATGCGATTAACAAACATGCACTGCTGGCAATATGTCATCACAATGCCTCTCCAGATAAGATATAAAACACTGAGCGCAGAATGGTCTAATATTAACTTAGACTTATACTTAGACGAATCAGAAGTTTCGTTCTTTGTTGACAGTAACCAACCAGAATTGAGCTACAGTGGATATTCCGAGCTATAGTCGGTCTGGGGATTTGCTCTGGAAAAGGCATCGAAGACAATGAAACCCGTACTATAATTTTTGGCGCGAGCTATAGTGAAGCTATAGTCAGGTTTGAAAATGGCCTTCCACGGTACTTCACCACTCTCTGTCCCCTGTAAAGCAACAGTGGACTATAGCTCGTTTTCACCTCCTGGGTCCCCTGTAATGTAGTGTCAAAGGCAGGGACCAACTAGGGGAATAGACAGGAACGGCGGAACGACCAAGCGGCAAGAGGGGGGGGGGCAGGCTTTAGTAAAAGGGCTTTTGAAAGATAATTCTCAGCTTCTACAAATTCATACGTAACTGCAATATTATTTCGATCTTCTGTAGGTATCTTCAACATTGGCTAACTTTCGGCATAAGGAATTATTTTACATATTTTGAGAAGTGCAGAATTTTATATGAATCTCTATGATTATCAAAATTGGCCAGTTTCAAGGGAACTTTATTAAAAACAACCCT